ATATATATATATATGTTATATTCGATTGTATTCGAAATAAAGTTTTATGATCGTGGAAAAGTTTTCAACAAATTTTCCTTCGGTTAGAAATCGTCAGTTCGTTGTAGAGTACGTAGATAATTCAGTGTTCTGGTTATTTACAAGTGTATAGCAGAGACACGTTGGTAAGCATTGTATGTATAGGTACGTTATATATTAGGTACATATATATATATATATGTGTGTGTTAGGGGTAAGTTAGCTACATACATATACGTTTATACGAATATACCATGGCGAGTTCCAAATTCGTGATTGTGTTCCAACTCGGGAATGGAGTTTGCGATTGAATCGCCGATTTACAAAAGGTTATGCATCGAATTTTTCTCCTGGGGATAAAATAAAACACGTTTTTGTTTTTTTTTTTTTGTTTTGCCCAGCCTCTGTTGCAAATTTCAGTTTACGAGAAGTACCGATATTAGAAATGTTATCCCGTCTGAAGGAACAATGTTGTTATTGTAGTTGCTGTTGTTTCGGGATGTATTCGCGATAAAAAAAAGCAAAAAAAAAACAATTCGATATCCAGAATATAAAAACCATTGATACTTGATTTTAAAAATATCTAAACATAGGTAGTTATGGGTGAGATAAAAATTTCGTGGCAAACACCGAGGTGTGATCCACCGAAAAAATAAGAAAATAATAATAATAATAATAAGAAAATAATAATAATAATAATAATAATAATAACAACGTGTTCACACATGAGAAAATATTTGATTTCCTGTTTAAATATTATTTTTAACGAGAGGAATAGTAGAATGAAGTACTCGTTGCGTATTCCTATTACAAATCACGTTTACCATTAGACCTATATAATCTTTCACAATTCGGGTAAGTTGAGTATTCGTGATACGATACGAGTATGGTGGATGGAATGGTGGTATGGTATGGGGGGATTGAAGGGGAAAGTCTCGAAACATGCCAAAGGGTTTTCGTTTTAAAATGTGGGAACCTTTTCGTTCTGTATACATATACATGTGTGTATTTGTACACACGTGTATCTGTGTGTAACGTTACGAGAAAGGATGATATCTCGCTAAAGGAAGTTTATTTCCTCGACGATTGTACGGGGGTTTGTAGGAGGGTAGTGGATTTGCGAAATGGCGGCAAGTAGAAAGCCATGGCCGGAAGTTAACGCTGTAAAACAAGGCTTTCTCTCTTTCTCTTTCTAACGCACACACACACACACAGACACATGCACACAACAGTATATTTCAATTTCTATTTCTATTTCTATTTCTGTATCTCTCTTACTCAATGTTGAGGTACCAGCCGCAAACGAAGGAACAGGAGGATGAGGATGAGGATGAGGATGAGGGGGGGTAGAGGAGGTGGATACATATAGAAAGGGACAAATTTAACCGTGGGTCTTTCGTGGTTTACGGATTTCACTGTTGGACCTTCTCTCTATTTTCAAAGAGACTTCCTAGCGCATGTGCTATTACCGTTACTAATTTTCGCTTCTCTTCATTCGAATTTTGCAAAGTTGGAAAATCGTAATACGTGTGTTGGTTAATATATAGACGTTAGGTAGAAATTGTATTTATGTATTTATGGTATGGTATGGTATGTATGTGTATACGTTTGTATGTAATACTTACCTTGGATTCGTGTGTCGAAATTTTCCAAGAAATTATTTAAGAATATTATGCTTAGATTTAATTGCATCCTAATTTTAAATTTGTGTAATTTTATTATGCATTGATATATATATAAATAAATGTACATTTGTTTTGAAGAAATCAGATAACAGGCTAACATGTCACAATATGCCTGGAGCAACAACGCT